CTTAATTAAAACTTTAGAATAACTTTATTTTAATATATCATTGTAAAAATTAAAAAAAAATTATATTTGATTTGATTCAATTTGATTGATTTGATTTGACAAATGTTTGATTCAATTAATTTAATTTGATCAAATTCAAATTGACTTAAATTGATTTAATCAAATATTTAAGTTCAATTTGATTTAATTTGATTCAATTTGAAAAAATCAAATCAAATTCAAATTGCTTAAATATTTGATTTGATTTAATTTTAAGGAATCCTAGAGATGATATTAAATCTTTATTAAGAAATCTTTTTTTTTAAGATGTAGAAGAATTAATCAAATTGTTTAAACTAATTAAAAAAGTTATAGTTTCTTTGAAATATAAATTTTCTTCTTTAGCTGATTGTTTTATTTAATTATAAAAGTTGGAATTATATTTAAATTATATCCTACTATAACAAATATCTTATTTCGATTATATTGTATCGATAAATTTAATCATCATTAAAGACAATTTGATTTCAAAATTTATTTGTTGAATTATTTTTTTTATCCATCATATTAAGATATATATAATAAATTTTTTAAATAAATATAAATATATATAATTTTTTAATAATCAAATATTATTTATTTTATTTAGGAAAAGGATTTAAATCTGATGTTTTTAGATAAATTTATCATACAGCTTTTGAATTTTGAAAATATATGAATAGAGAAAATATTACAGCAAATATATTAATAACACAATTATTAGCATATAGAAATTTTATGAATTTCAATATATTCAAGAAATGTATAACATAGAAATTTAGTGAAAAATAATAGAATTATAAGATAGTTTTATTAAATAATTAGCTTTAAAAATAATTTCTATAATACTACATAATATTGGTTGTGAAAAAATGTTTTCTGTATTAGGTTAGATAGATGTGTTTAAGTTATCGATCAAGTAAGTTTAAATTTATATTTTAAAATATTAATTTAATTATTAAATATTATATATTTTATATTTAATTATAGATTTTCTATTGAAAGAATAAAAGCTATGACAGAATTACATACTTATTATATAATAAATGCTACTACTGAAATGAATTATACTCATTCTAATTTGTCAAAAGAAGAACTTTATAAAATATTTAATAAAAGTTTAAGTTTTAGTGAATTTTCTGATGAAATTTATGAACAGATAGAAGAATTTAATTTTATCGATAATAATGAGGATTTGGCTGAAGAATATAAGATAGAGATACTAAACAAAAACAATGAAATCATTATAGAAAAATTATTTGATTTTAATAGTAAGAATTTCAAAAAGCTTTAAATATGAATGTAAGAGTAATAATTGAAGAAACAAAATATATTGATCATGAAAATAAAAACTTGATATAAATGTAATATTAGATACTAATTTAATTAGTAATAATAATAATAATTGAAAAAAATATAATAATAAAATAATTTTTTAAATATCTAAACATTTTATTTTTTTATTTTTTTAAATAATTATAAAAGTTATATATCATAAATTTAATAAAATTTAATAAAATATAATAAATTTATATATTTTAACTATTATATTGTATTTTGACCATCATAATGTATTTTGATTTTTAAACTTTTTTAACATATGGGACCTTTGCAATAGAAAGGGGGGAAACAGCCGAAAAAATCAAAAGTGAGTTAATGCTAAATTTGAACATATTTCAGCATAAAAATCATATTTGGCATATAAAGTAAAATTAATTTTTCCCAGCTGTTTCCCCCCTTTCTATTGCAAAGGCCCCATATAGTCAAAATTAATTTTGACTATTTCAACTATTTCAGATATCTGAAATGATTAATTTTGACTTCATGTATAGTCTTAATGTTAAAATAATGCAAATTATATACAGTATAATAAATTTTTGTAATTTAAGCTAAATTTTTGCTGAATTACATCATATGACCGAATTGAATGAATGTTTGCTGAAAGGTTATAGAACCAAATAATGCTAAATTATATATAATGTAATGTAATTGATTTTATAATTAAGCTAAATTTTTGCTAAATCATATAACTAAATTAGCTGAATATTTACCAAAAGGTATTAATTAGTGTTTAAAGAAATGATTTCAACTGATGTTATATTGTTATCTATAAATTATACTACTTTAAAATAATATTATATAATAAATTTATTTTAAAATAAATGTAAATATTTTAATTTAAAATATTATATATTTATTAAACTGATATTATAATATTAATTTATAAATTTTATATTGATATATTTATTAGTTTTAATTTTATTATATTATAAATATAAATAGATCTAAAATAATAAAAAGAGATTATAATTTTTTATATTTAAGAAATATAAATTTAATTTATTCATAATTTATACTTTGAAAAAAAATATATATATAAAAATATAAATATAAAATCGTAATAATATTTAATATTCTTTTAAAATAATATTAACTTTACAAGGGAATCACTAATCAAACGATAGCTGGCTATTTATTAAATCAGAAAACAAGAGTACTAAAAAATGTTATTTGTTACAAGAAAATGGTTTGATTTTTATCACATATGGGAACGTTTTCAAGTAAAATCAAGTCATGTGATCCGTAATGTGATTTTACTCCATATACATTTGTAAAAGACGGTCACGTGATAATAGCCGGTCTTTTTTTGGTAAAAAATTTTTTGTGGCGCAACATAATTTGCATTCTTTTTTAGTTCAATTTAGCAAAAGGCATAAATTTCAATTCAGCTGCGCCCCAAAAAAACTCAAAGATCGGTAAGACCGCAGGACAAATCTTTTATGTGATGGTGAGAAAAAAACGGCTCGCTTTGAAAAAAAAAAAATATTTGGCAAGTATCATGTGCCTTTACCTCCACTTATCATTGTTTCCGAGGTAATGTTTTATCTTTGTCATAGATTAGGATTAATTTGGGTAAGGGTTAAGGGTCAGTTTAGGTTAGTTTACCAAAAAATAAATAATTAACTTTGAGGATGGGTTTATCTTAAGTTCCTAATTCAAATAACTGTGTTCAAAAATCAATATATCACGTGATATTTAAGAACCCCGCCATTTTGATAATCAAAAAAAAAAGATTTTTAAATATAAATAAAAACTCATTTTAGTACATAATTTGTTTTTTGATTGTTTTTTTTCTCGTGTAAATCTATCCATTAGATATTTATTATTGTTATAATCTATAATTTAAATATCTACGCGGCACTACCCGTCAAATTTTGGCTGATGGAGATTGATGTTTGAATGGCGTATTTGGCGTTATCATGGAAACTTTGATTTCGATTTTAATATATTATTTACTTGTTAACTACAGCATCATGCATAATCAGTAATTTATTTGACGGTCTAACATTCATCTACTGATTCGTCAATCTGAGATGTTATCTTATCTAAATTGTCACGAATTTCCCATCAAAAAATCTGATAAAGGTATTTTATAAAATGAGCTCTTTCCAAAGTAAGAACGTTCTCTTACGAATTTTTTCCCACTTGTTCTAATAAAGTGGTGAAGAATAATTCATTTATTTTTTTTTTCATCAATATATTATATAAATTCATTTTCTTTTACGAATTCAAATTTATAATCATGTATAATAGTTTTATCAGGTCACCGAGTCCCATTCGTCGAGTTAGTTCAATTGTATCTAAAGTTCAACAAACTTATATACCCAAAAGCTCTCGCAGTTTTCATAAAGCTACTACCTCCACAACTCGACGAATATTTACACCTCCAATTACCAATACATTCCAAAATAATTCATATAATATTATCCCACCAACTTCTATAGGCGCGTTTACTTCACCTTATTTACGGTCTTTTCGACCAACGACAACTCGAATATCTTATCATTTTTATAGTTCAGTTGCAGTCCATTATAACAATAATGACTCTTATGAACGTGTTTTCAAAGAGGTTAACGAAGTAATATTGAGCCACGTGCCTAAAGTTGACGTTAAAAAAGTACTTGTTGTAGGATCTGGTGGTCTATCTATCGGCCAAGCTGGTGAATTCGATTATTCTGGTAATGTTAAATGAACGGAGTTTAAAAATATGACGGATTTTAAAAATTAGATCATCAATGAACTAATTGTTATACGTTTATTGTATTTAGGTTCGCAAGCCATTAAAGCTTTAAAAGAATCAGGAATCCGCACAATTTTGGTTAATCCAAATATTGCGACCATCCAAACATCTCATGCCTTAGCAGACTCTGTATACTTCCTTCCTGTTACAGTTGAATATCTCACTCACATTCTTGAACGTGAAAGGCCAGATGGAATTTTATTAACCTTTGGAGGTCAAACAGGGTTGAACGTTGGTATGAAACTGGATCAAATGGGCGTCCTTTCCCGTTTGGGTGTTAAGGTTTTAGGTACTCCAATTCGAACTTTGGAAGTGAGTGAAGATAGAGATCTTTTTGCCCAAGCTTTGAAAGGTAATTTATAATTCTTAAACGCATAGATATTTCAAATATATAAATCTATATTTTTTAATTTAATTAAATCTTTTTTTTTTAATCCATTTTTTCATAAACAGAAATTGATATTCCCGTTGCTGAATCAACTGCGGTTTCCACACTCGACGATGCTCTTGCAGCTGCTGAACAAATTGGTTATCCTGTAATCATTCGATCAGCTTTCACGCTTGGAGGTCTCGGTTCTGGTTTTGCAAATAATCCTGATGAACTTCATAGTTTAGCCGCCAAATCCTTAACATTATCACCACAAATTCTTGTTGAGAAATCAATGAAAGGATGGAAAGAAGTAGAATATGAAGTCGTTCGTGATGCTGCAAATAACTGTATTACAGTATGTAATATGGAAAATTTCGATCCTCTTGGTATTCATACCGGTGATTCTATTGTGGTCGCCCCAAGTCAAACTCTGAGTGATGAAGAATATCATATGCTTAGAACTGCGGCCATCAAGATCATCCGTCATTTGGGTGTTGTTGGTGAATGTAATGTCCAATACGCTTTAAATCCAAACAGTCTCGAATACAAAGTTATTGAAGTAAATGCTCGACTCAGTCGTAGTTCGTGAGTATTGTTCCTTTTTTAAAAAAATTTATTATTTTTTTTTTTTAAAAAAAATATATATATATCAATAATAACTTTTCATAACTTTATCCTTTATCTTATTTATCAGAGCTCTCGCTTCTAAAGCTACTGGATATCCTCTTGCTTTCATTGCTGCCAAAATTGCTCTAGGACATACCCTTCCGGAACTCCGTAATGCTGTGACTAAAACCACTACCGCTTGTTTTGAACCATCTTTAGATTATATTGTTACAAAGATTCCAAGGTGGGATTTGAGCAAGTTCCAACATGTTGATCGTGAAATTGGTAGTTCTATGAAGAGCGTCGGTGAAGTCATGGCCGTCGGTAGAACATTTGAAGAAAGTTTACAAAAGGTAAACCTTTAATTTTACAATTTATTTATTCGAGCGTATTTATCGATGTAAATTCTAATTTAATAACCAATAATTTTCAGGCCATTCGTCAGGTTGATCCTTCATTTAGTGGGTTCCAATCTTTGCCGTTCCCTGATCTTGACAAGTCTCTTTCCGTTCCAACTGATCGACGTTTATTCGCCATTGGTCATGCTATGCTTGAAAAGAATTATACCATTGATCAAATTCATAACCTTACAAAGGTTGATAAATGGTTCCTTTACAAATTGGGTAATATCGTAAATGTCCAACATGATATTAAACATGCTGAAAAACTTGAAAACGTCTCTAAGGAATTGTTACTAGAAGCTAAAAAGAAAGGGTTTTCAGATCCACAAATTGCTGCATTGTTGACAGATACTACTGAGGACCAAGTACGCAAAGTTCGAAAAAGTCATGGAATCACACCATTTGTCAAGAGAATTGATACCGTTGCTGCTGAATTCCCTGCACAAACAAATTATTTATATACCACATATAATGCATCAACGCATGATTTAGATTTCAATGATAATGGAACCATGGTTTTGGGTTCGGGTGTTTATCGTATCGGATCATCTGTCGAATTTGATTGGTGCGGTGTATCAGCTATTCGCGGTCTTCGAAAAATGGGTTTAAAGACCGTCATGGTTAATTACAATCCCGAGACAGTTTCAACAGATTTTGATGAGTGTGACAGATTATATTTTGAGGAACTCTCATATGAACGTGTTTTGGATATTTATGAACAAGAAGCTGCTAAAGGAGTTATTGTTTCTGTAGGTGGACAATTACCACAGAATATCGCACTCAGATTACATCAAAATAATGTTAACATTTTAGGAACAAGTCCTATTAGTATTGATAAAGCTGAGGATCGATTTAAATTCTCTCAAATATTGGATCAAATTGGAGTGGATCAACCTGAATGGAAAGAACTCTCAAGTGCTGAGGAAGCTGAGAAATTCGCTGATAAAGTTGGTTATCCAGTTCTCGTTCGTCCATCATACGTACTTTCTGGGGCTGCTATGAACGTGTGTTATACACGTGAATTCTTACATAAGAATCTTGTCGAGGCAACAAATGTTTCGCCATTGCACCCAGTAGTCATAACTAAATTCATTTCACCTGCTGCGGAAATTGATATTGATGCTGTTGCCCACAAGGGTAAGCTTTTGGTCCACGCCGTTTCTGAACATGTTGAAAATGCTGGTGTTCATTCTGGAGATGCTACTTTGGTATTGCCACCTCGTGACATTAATGATCACACGATGGCTAGATTGAAGGAAATTGCCGAAAAAGTCGCCAAAGCTTTCGAGATTACGGGACCTTTCAATATGCAAATTATCAAAAAAGATAATCCTAATGGGGAATCAGAATTGAAAGTTATTGAATGCAACCTCCGTGCTTCTCGATCATTCCCATTCGTGTCAAAAGTACTTGGAAGAGATTTCATTGATACTGCGACCAAAGCTTTATGCGATAGGGATGTTCCAGAACCAGTTGATCTAATGGTTGAAAAGAAAGATTATCAAGCTGTTAAAGTTCCACAATTCTCATGGACACGTCTTCAAGGTGCTGATCCATTCCTTGGAGTGGAAATGGCATCAACAGGAGAAGTTGCATGTTTCGGTAAAGACAAATATGAAGCTTATTGGTCAGCAATTCAATCCACACAAAATTTCCGAGTACCAAAACCTGGTAGTGGAATTTTGATCGGAAAAGATGACCGAACTGATCAGGAAGATTTCCTTGCAGTAGCGCGCACACTTTCCAAAGATTTAAGACATCCAATTTATACAAGTTCACCAAAAGTTACGGAATTTTTAGCAAAACATAATATTGAAGCCACAACATTATCCTTACCAGTACAGAATAAGAGAGAACTTCAACAAGTTTTCCAAAACAATAAAATTGATTTTGTATTCAACCTTGCACAATTGAGAGCTTCGGTAATAACCGATGAAAATTATATTGCTAGAAGATCTGCAGTAGATTTTGGCATACCGTTAGTTAATGATAGTAAATGCGCAAGATTATTCGTAGAAGCTGTAAAAAGAAAGAGACAAGAATTGGGAAGTTTAAATGGGGATATTCCTGCTGAAGTTAAAAGTTGGTCAGAATTTGTTGGAGGAAGATATTGTTAAAAAAAAAGTCAAAAATTGGGAGGGCAATGGATAAATGGGTTCACGTATAAATAATTATTTATTGAGAGACAATTTTTTTTTCTTTTTTGAAAACAATTCGAAAAATTTTATATAAATATTCTTTACGCATTGACTGTTTAAAATAGTTTTTTTTTTAATTAACTTAGTTTAATTACAAAATATCATTAGATAAATTTATCATACAAAAAATTATTTAATCAAATCATCAAAAATTTTTTTTTAAAAAGTTTTTTAATAAATTTAATAAAATTTTAATATATATGTGTTGTTTTATAAAATAAGTTCGGTTATTTATCATTGTTTAGAAAATGCGCAAAATTTTATCCTTTTACCAAATGGAGTTTAAATATGTCTTTTGACTAATTTGACTAATTGCATTTATCATTCTACAAACTGTATATGTATTATAGTATTAATTTATCATCTATTGATATTTATAAAAAGGGCAATTAAAATTACCCAAGTTCGAAAATTTTGGGTGTTTAAAAATCTCCCATAGACTGACTAACTTGCCGATTAGATTCAAATCTGATCATCTTTTAAAAAGAGGAATCATGTGAATAATTTTTTTTGATGGTGTCATTTAAAGTCACACCTAATTACAGTATCAACCTAAATTTTACTAGATCAAATATTACTAATCGAATTTTTTTCACAAATTATTTTTAAAAAGCAATGCTTCACATGATAATATTATTCGATCTACCAGTTAGGATTAATAATCAAATTCAAGAATTTATTGTGTGACGAATTTTTTTTATATAAAAAAAAATAAAAACGATCTTTTTTTTTTAAAAAAAAATTTATTTTTTTTCTTTCTTTTGTTTATGATTCAAAAAATTTTGGATTTTTTTATTTAGATCAATTTCTAAAAATATTGTCTTGTAACGATAATTTTTTTTTCCATTCCTGTTTGTCGCCTTGAAGTATTAACCTCAATAAATCATCATGGCAACAACATCGGAAGTGGTGGCATCAAGAATCGCTTATTCTGCAAGTGATTTAATTTACGTTATAGAACCCAATTCTCCAAAATCTTCATCTTCAAAATCTCAAAGTACATTAGAATTAACTCAATATCAAACTCAATCAAAGACAAACATTTTTAATAAAATACCTGAATTAGAAACTTTACATTCAATCTCTGATCCATTTTCAAAATTACATGTTCAACTATCAAAAGGTTCCTTGATTAGTGTAATCATACCTTCTAATTGTTCAAAGAATGTTTTAATTAATTCCATACCACATCTTTATAAAATTTCCAATGGTAATAAAAATAATCAGGGAGGAGTTATAGTTATTCACGTTGCTTTGGATAAAAGTGATTTAAATCAATTGGGTGATTATACTGATGTTATGGCTTTAAGACAAACTGGTTTCGCTTTATTGCATTCTAGTGGTCCTCAAGAATCTTCGGATATGGCTCTTATAGCTCATTCAATTGCTTTAAAAACTGGAATTTCTGTTATACATTTCTTTGATAATGAATCAAAGAATGAATCAAAGAAAGGTGGAAAGATTAAGATTCTCGGAAATAATGATATTAAAAAACTCATTGTAGAATCAGATGTTCAAAAATATCGTGATACCCTACCTAATGATCTTTACTTTAGATCTTATAATGGTATCTCATCATCAGCTGATTCTTCTGACGACCAACAGGATGTCTCAAATGCAAATGGAGAAATTTCTGTCCCAACAACAACAAATGGAAAACAACAAAGCTCCCCGGCAGATTTTTTCACGATCACGGAAGACATCTTTGAAACATTCAAACAATTGACAAATAGATCTTACAAAATTATTGAATTCTTTGGTGACAAAAGATCGGATTCAATTATTATAACAATGGGATCCGGAGCTGTGCTTTTACAAAAAGTTTTTGAAAAACCCGAAACTTCGAAAATTGGTTTGCTCAAAATAAGACTATATCGTCCCTGGTCCGATAAACATTTATTTGCGGGGATTCCAAAATCTGTAAAGAAAGTATCCGTATTGGAGCAAGTTGTCCCTCGTACAACTAATTGGACGCCATTATATTTAGATGTTGTATCAGCTTTTCAAAACCGTAATTATTGGTCTGATCAATTACCACTTATCAATTGTGGTCAGTATGGTGCTTTGGAAAAAGGATCAATTGATGCAGAAGTTACCATTCTTCTGAATTCAAATTTTCCTCGCCGTAATTTCTTCCTTGGTAAAGAACCATCAAAACCACAATCGAAAAATTATGGAGAGGTTAACGGTCAAGATGATCTTGAAAATTCTTCTGCGTTGGAGAGGCCTTATATTAAGATGCTCAATGAAATCTTCTCCGAAAGATTATACATTGCTAATTCTTCATCAAAACCTAACGCTGGACATTTAGAAGTTGTAAAATCCACACCGGAATTCGGGTTTGGTGTATTATTGGCAAAACTTCATCAACGCGTTCAGTTAGTTGATCTAGTGACACGTATCGTTAAGGACACTTCGATTCCTGAACCACTTCACGAACAACTATCTAAATGGCTCTTGCATAAAGATGATGCTGAACTTTCAAAGAAGTATGGTGATCAAATTGCAGAAATGCTCAGTTCAGAACCTCCAAAACAATCTTCCCTCGCTGAACTCCTTCAACTTCGAAATTTATTTGTTAAACCAGCTCAATGGTTAATTGGTTCGGATGCATGGGCTTATGATATTGGAAATTCTGGCGTTCATCATGTAATTTCTTCTGGAAAAGATATCAATATGTTAATTATTGATTCACAACCTTATTCAACACGTACTGCGGCCGATCCAGATAAGCGTAAAAAGGATATTGGTCTCTACGCGATGAATTATGGGAACGTGTTCGTAGCTTCCGTGGCAATGTATTCATCTTATACTCAAGTTTTACATGCCTTAATAGAAGCAGAAAAATTCAAAGGTCCATCGATTGTGTTGGCCTATCTTCCTTATCATTCTGAAAAGGATACAACGATTACCGTATTAAAAGAAACTAAATTAGCTGTCGACAATGGTTATTGGCCATTATATAGATGGAACCCTGAATTAGAAAAGGCTGGAAAAGAACCTTTCATCTTGGATTCTGAACGAATTAAACAAGAATTACAAAGTTTCTTGGATCGAGAAAACCATTTGACACAATTAATTCGTTCCCGTCCAGATTATTCTCCTTTATTAACAAACTCCCTTGAATCGGAAGTTAAATCAAGACAAAAATCTCTTGCAAAATCAGCTTACGAAAAATTGTTAGGCGGTTTGACAGGTCCACCATTATTAATCTTATTTGGATCAGATAATGGTAATGCTGAAGGCTTGGCAAGAAGGTTACAAAAAGGTGCAATTGCTAGAGGAATAAACGCACGATGTCTAGCGATGGACGATTTCCCAATTGAAGATATTACTCTAGAAAAAAATTTGGTGTTTATTTGCAGTACAGCTGGTCAAGGAGAATTTCCACAGAATGCTCGTGATTTCTGGAAACATATCTCAACCACTACAGATATTTCCTTTACAGAGTCAAGGTACACAGTTTTTGGATTAGGAGATAGTCATTATTGGCCAAGGGAAGAGGACGCGATTTATTATAACAAACCTGGCAAAGATTTAGATGCAAGATTGGAATTATTAGGAGGGCAAAGTTTAGTCCCACTTGGATTAGGAGACGACCAAGATGCTGATGGATATGAAACAGCATATCAAGCTTGGGAACCAGAACTTTGGAAAGCTCTTGGAGTTGAATTACTTGGTACGATTGTGGAGGAACAAAAAAAGACTGATGATGATATGAAAACAGAATCAAACTTTTTAAGAGGAACCATCGCGGAAGGTTTAGAAGATACTTCAACAGGTGCATTATGTGAACGAGATACCAAATTAACCAAGTTTCACGGAATTTACCAACAAGATGATCGTGATTTGAGAGAAGATAGGAAGGCTCAAGGTTTGGAAAAGGCATTCTCGTTTATGGTACGTGTTAGAGTTCCGGGAGGAGTTTCCACAGTTCAACAATGGTTAGCAATGGATGAAATTGCAGAAAAATATGGAAGTGGATCATTGAAACTAACAACTAGACAAGCTTTTCAATTACATGGAGTTCTTAAACGAAATTTAAGAGAAGCCATACGTGGCATTAATAGATGTTTATTGGATACATTGGCGGCATGTGGTGACGTCAATAGGAATGTCATGTGTAATCCGAATCCACTCATTTCTGAAGTACATGCGGAAGTACAAGACTTTGCAATGAAAATAAGTGCACATCTTTCACCAAGAACATCCGCATATCATGAAATTTGGCTAGATGATAAGATGGTAGCAGGCCAAGCGGTACAAGATTTCGAACCATTATACGGACATACTTATTTACCACGTAAATTCAAGATCGCGATCGCGATGCCTCCTAATAATGATGTTGATGTATTCGCTCATGATCTGGGTTATATTGTTATTTCCGATGATAATGGAAAACTTTTGGGGTATAATGTAACAGTTGGAGGCGGGATGGGAATGACGCATAACAACAAGAAAACGTATCCTAATTTAGGCCAACTGCTCGGATTTAGTAGACCTGATCAGGCAATTGAAGTTGGAGAGAAAGTTATGTTAGTTCAAAGAGATTTTGGTGATCGTATAAATCGAAAACATGCGAGACTCAAGTACACGATTGATGACCGAGACTTGGACTGGTTCCGGAACGAAGTTGAATCTCGATTAGGATATAAATTGGATCCACCGAAAGAATATAAATTCGAAAATAATGCGGATAGATATGGATGGACGAAAGGTGTTGACGACAAATGGCATTTTTGTATGTATATAGAAAATGGACGTGTCGTGGATTCGCCAGGAGAGGCCATTAAAACAGGATTAAGGGAGATCGCGAAAGTACATAAAGGAGATTTCCGTTTGACACCGAATCAACATCTTATATTAGGAAATGTATCGGAACAAGATAAGCCACAAATTGAAGAATTATTAAAGAAGTATAAATTGGATAATTTGAAATTTACCGGTTTAAGATTGAATTCCATGTCATGTGTAGCGTTACCTACATGCGGATTAGCCATGGCAGAATCCGAAAGATATTTACCAACGCTTGTTAGTAAATTAGAAATCATTATTGAAGAATGTGGATTAAGAGGTGACGCGATCACGATTAGGATGACAGGATGTCCCAATGGGTGTGCAAGACCCTATGTCGCAGAAATTGCTTGTGTAGGTAAGGCATTGGGAACTTATAACCTTTATTTAGGAGGAGGATTCTATGGGCAGAGATTAAATAAATTATACAAAGAAAGTTTGAAAGAAGAGGATATTTTAGGGGAACTGAAACCCATGTTGAGCAGGTATGCCAAAGAAAGAAACGATGGAGAGAGATTTGGTGATTTTGTTATTAGGATGGGATATGTCAAAGCTACAAATTATGGTAAAGATTTCCACGATTTGTAAGAGAGATCAAAAAACAAACATTTAAGTTAAAACTATAAAAATTTCGTTTTATACTCGTATATGTTTATGTTATTTATGTATGTATGATATAATTAATTAAATTCAATTACTTTTTGTACAATCTTTAAAATTTGGTTAAGATATTAGATGTTATGATAAGTTTTAAATCAGTTGATTCTCTTTAAATAAGCGAAAACGAAAATATTGTTTTTCTTTTTAGAGTTAAATTTAAATTTAGGATTCTCATTCATCATAGCCAATAATTCAATGATTATTTATTATATTATCCTTTTTCTTCTCTTTTTAAATTATTTATTAAAATTTATTTCCTTTAATAAAAATGGAAAACTTAATCTAAAAGATGAAAGGGACTAAATGTTCATTGCTAAGTACCGCTACTACTTGTATTCGTTGGATTCTGTCCTGTATTTGGTGTCGATGACTTCTCACCAGTATTATTTTCTTGTTCAATCCTTTGCCACCCTAAATTTATGATGAAAAAAAAATTAATATGAAATAATAATTCTTCATTGTAATGTTTTTTTTTTAAACCAAAATTTCCAACATTTAGACTATTCAATAAAATAAAAATTAATAATAATTACATTCCAGTTTTTCAGTTGGTCTAGTCTTGGCAAGTTCTTGAGCTCTTCTTCTTGCATCAATATCTTTTTTGGCATAGTAGTATGCTCCTCCTCCAGCTTTTTTTATTTTTTTAAAAAATTATCAGAATCAAAAATTATAATTTTATTTTTTAAAAAAAAATCTTACCGGCAAGAAGAGCGACCCTTAACGATTTTTTTTAGAAATAATAAGTAAAAAAAAAAAAAATAAAATAAAAAAATAAAATAAGGGAATTAACAAAATTATAGCTCTTACCATCCAATAATCATAGATCCAGGTGTGTTCATTTTTTTCGTATTTGTGTTTTTTTGTTCAATAAATAAGAATAATAAATAAAAATCTATGGAAAGTTGAGAATTTATAATGGATATGTATCTTTTTTCACTCCAATCATGTAAAGTTCCTCTTTAAATCAGCATAAATATGTCGTCTTTGGATATTTAAATTATCAATTTTCCATTCTATAAATAATAGAAAAAAATAATAATTTTCAACTTTTGTGAATTCAAAGGCACCTCTATTATTATTATATTCTAGAGTTATTAAAAAATTGTCGAAAAATTTTTTATGATTATCAAATATATTTTTTAGTAATCAGTTTTTATTGGTCGATAAAATATTTTAACCATAAATATTATTCATTCTATATTTGATAATGTTGCGAAAAAATCATACGTTTTTCCCACCGTCAATAATGAATGATGATAGAGAAATAAGGAAAGAGGAAAGGAAATGAAGAAATTGTTATCAGATAAAAGGAAACATTATTTTAATCAAATACGTACTCATAGAAAACCATCTTAGTAAAAGATGGTGCATTTCTATTGACGAAGCCTCATACGACTTACTGTCTCGTAACTTATCATTATGTAGTTTTCAATTTAAACATGTCAAATTATTCGCAAAACTATACTCTAAATGGTGCACGGAATTTAACCGAGAAGAAGTGAAAAGTATGAGAATGTTATCGACAAAGATATATATCACTTGAAATTTATCTTGAGTTTGTATGTTAATTATCGTTTAATGGATGAAATATCGAAGCCTATGAAATACCTACCACCTTCACGGCAATAATACAAGGAGAATTAAGAGATTGGGAACAAATTATATTATTGTGGGTACAAGAAGTCTTTCATGTACCTTAAACCTCACGGGTGGTCAACTCATCGGAACAGACATACACAACGTTAGTTGTGGAAATTGGCAATATGGAAAGTGTAAGAAGTTTGCATTAATGATTCATTTTATTTAGCAATCAAGATATTTCCTCGTCGTAATGACAATTTCGTTGCATTCATTGCATGCAATGTTTTATTTACGAAAAGATCTAAATCTAACCATACATGTTATCGTAAAATCTTTTGGAACAGCACCTCCACACAAACCTGTTTTAAAATAATTACTGGTGCTAATACTCAAGGATATCAAATAGATATTCCTACCAATTTGCTTTTTGTTAGTGTTCCTGGCGGCGTTCCTATTGGTGTACAGTACTTGTAAACTTCAATATAGATTTTTTTAGATTGCAAAATATAATTCTGGAAACAATTTGACAAGCACAAAAGTAAACGTAACTAGTGAAATTAAACAATAACTTTTTTACATATAAAAGTCATTTGCTGAAGAAATTTAAGGATAAAAAAAAGTTATATAATTTTTTTTCATCAATTTATTAAATTAAGACTTTACTCCAACTTTAAAGAAATTTTTTTTTTTTGATATGTTCGCACTACAAAGAAGATACGCGAGAAATCTTTCTACAAATAACGGTATGTTCAAAGATGTTATTAACCTAATAAAATCTGATCCATGATCGACATACAAAAAAAAAAATTTTTTTTTAATGAATGGCAAATATCTCATACAAATTTAGAAATTAGATAAGCTACTTAAAGATGGTGAGATTTATTAAAGTCATTTTATTTTTTCTATTTGAACAACCCGAAACAACCGAACGAACCGCAAAATCGAAAATTCTTTTATTCAATAATGCTTATTTCTTTGTTAAGAAATCTCCGCTTTACATAAACTATTGAAGAATTTATGCTCTATTATTTGTTAATATGTTGCCATATCGATGAAAAAAAAATGATGGATAAATTTTTTAAATTAGTAAAAATAAGTGGAGTGACTTCATTAAATTATTATAGGTAAAACTGAACTATATAATGGGAATTCCATTTTCATATAAATCATAATTTAACTCCGACGTCCATATTTCGAATGTCATACAAATATGCCGTTAAGCCGACTTACATCTATCTGATCATTCCATTTCAAGTACATAAACAAAGCAAAGATATTGTTGTTTCCTTTATTTGAAAAAAAATTTTTCAATATTTATAGAGAGAAAATTCTCTTATCACTATGTTCACGAATGGTTAATTAGCTGAAAATTTTCGTAAACAAAAATAAAAAAGCAAACTTATCGATTTTAAATCAATTCATAAAGTAATTCAATTAACTAACGATGGCTTGTATGAATTTAGAATACAACTTTAAAAAAAAGTGGCAACGTATCAATGAATCAACTTATACGAGATTATTTGTTTTAATAACGATAATACAAGCTATTGTATTGATTTTCCTGCAAATTCGTATGTTGCATCGCAATTCTAACTTATATATTGATAAAGTATCTCCATTATTATTTGATGGTGAACAATGCGACATTACTTATATAACCCTTAGTTTCATCGTATTATTTATGGAAAATATTATTTTTATTGGTTTTAATATATATCAATTGTATTTTTGTTTGAACGCGGTGAGTTTCTTTTTTTCTTTTTTTTTTTTGCTCAGTAGCTTTCAAGTGATGTAATAAGTAATAACATGACGCTTTTTTTTTAAAAAAAAAAATTAACAAAAAACAGATTTTTCATCAAAATACCATGCAAATTTTCGCGGGTTTTATAATTAATATTGGATATGTGATCCTCGGAATTGTAAATAATAAATTTTAAACTTTCTACTTTCAAATCACGTGATATAACCTATATTTTTATTCATTAGGTTCAAATGATTGAAGTAAAAGTTAACGGAAATGCAATGGAATCAAAGTGTTTGGGACTTATCATTGAGCATAAATTTTTAATATTCGAATTCCCTCATGTTGTTACTTTAACGATCTTGGCAATTGTGCTGGGTTTTTTATCTTATAAATTATATCAACAATTTGGTTGGAATATTTACAAGAAAATCGGAGGGGACATTGATATGCAAAGTAAAGTTTGATCATTTAATTTTTCACATATTTCGTAAGAATTATCATTTAACAAACATTATATATATTTTAAAAATTAGAACGATTCAAAACATATCTTATTTTCGTAATGTTGATGAAAATTGATTTATTCTTCGTCATTGTTTTTAATGCGTTGGTATCACCATTTATGATATATGAAACCATAATAGAAGATGGGATGGAAGCTGGTATAAAAGTCTTCTTATATGGATATGTAGTGATTTTATTTTTATCACTCATATTTCAAGTATTAGCATATAAATCAGTAAGTGAACTAGTTTATTTATTTGTTATCGATATATTTTAAAATTAATTATATCTATATCATTCTATAGTTGGAAAAAGAATGGAGAGCTGGAATGATCGTTTTTATTATATTTTGGTTTATTGCTCTATTGGACTTTGGTTTTTTGGTTTATCTCATGGGAGCGTTATTAATTCCATATAAATTATTTTCTTTAGTAATATTAGGTAATTTTTATATATATTTATATATTTTTTTTTGTTTCAAAAAAAGCTTTCAAGATTTAATGTATGCTTAAAAAATTATTTTTTAAAAAAATTTTAGCATCTATACTCTTGATTTGTGCATTGGTAAGTGTTGAATTGGATCATTTCTTTTATTTCCTATAGATACATAACCGAAATTTTTTTTTTGCTTTCCATATATATAGTTAACGTTCGTATATGCGATAATGGTGACAAGAAACTTTGATAAAGGATTAAGGGAATATCGTAAGTTAATATTATTCATTAGTCCAAATCAAAACTTTCCAAATACGTAAATTGATTTTTTTTTTGTTTGTATAGTTGATAAGGATTCCCCTAAGAATACACATGAAGGTTCAAATATTTTGTCAGATGTTGAAAAAGGACCAAGTAGTAACGATGAAAATCCGAATAGATTTATTATTGATGATGATTAAAATAAATATGTATATATATATAATGTATAATTAGTATTAATTTGTATTTTTATATATTTTTTTTTTTTTTAAAAAAAAAAATGTTCATAAATATCAACATAAAGGAAATTCAGTCAAATATTTTTTAAAAAAAGATCAATTATCCGCTTTACTTTTTTAGAAATGTTTCCTCTGAAAGGGAATCATTGCAAATGGAACGTTACAATTCATCGGTTACATATACACCTTTCAATTAATATACTATATCCATTTGTCAATCAATGTATCGAAAAGTTTATTGTTTATAATATTTTAGCAGAATTTCATCTGAATTCACTTCGATCAATGCTTGATTGAAGCTCACCGAATGAAATGAATCAATATTACGCAATTGCTCAAAGGCTTCAGGTTAAATTTATCACCAAAGTGTGTCTAACCAATCTAAAACTTTAAGTCTTGCATCTGAAAGATTTCTTGAAGAAATTGGGACCCGCTTTAAGCAAATTTTTGATTCGAATAAAGAGGAAGGGGATCCTATAGATTATGTGTTTAAACTGTGAAACGTGAAATTCATAAACTTACTAGAAAAGAGATTGGGAAGGATAAAGTGAAAATCCTTTATTATGGTGGGCTAGATCCAAAAGTTAATTAGCAAATGGATCGAGCAGTTTATATAATAATATGGGTAGCGAGAAAGAACTGTCGTATTATGGTTAAACATGATTTACTTTTTTCATTCATTTTTACTTAACCGGCTTACCTTTTGTATCTTACACTTACCATCGCTTGCATAAAATAAAAGGCTTAAATTTTAAAAACTTTGTGCCAGATTATTGAATTTTCCTCTATAACTTGATCTGTATTTTGAAAGAGACTATGCACTTACTTTATTACAACAGTGCGTCGAATTATTATTTTACAATAAATAGTATTGAATATTCGATTTGTGATACGTGATCGTCACTCTCCTATTGGCGATACGTGTGATAACATAATAAATTATTACAGGACAACAGTCTATGTTAATTTTATTTTATAGTAAAAATGTCTCGCAAGTTTTAATTTCTAAAGAATTGGACGATTCAGATGAATGCATCTGATATGCTGCAACCGGACATACAATTTTTTTTTTTCATTGAGAATTAAAGATTAATTTCTTAGTTTAATTTTTAAAATAAAATATTTATAGTGAAATTTTTATTAAAAAATATTTTGAAGATGAATAAAATACTGTTACATAATTAAATATATCCAGTATAAAGTTTTTTCTAATCAATAATGAGAATGGAATCATAAATTTAATATCTTTTGCATTACGTTCATTTGCATTAAAAATAATAATTAAAACAATATTTCGTTACCTAATAACCTAAAATTTTAAAAACTAAAGTCAATAAATAGATAATAAAAGGGAGAAGGACGTTCTCGCACAAAGGAAGACATAACCAACTCCTTCTCCAGGATTAGTAAAAAATTCTTAGACAAACCTACTAGAGAGGAGGCCATGAAGAGCTTTCAGTTCTCTATCCTACCGTTTTAATTTACCCAAGTGAACCGACAATTATTACTATACTACTGCTGGTATTTATTCGTCCAAGACCTAATGTAACGGTCGTACTTGGGATATACTTCTTTTGTTGTATAATTCATATATACACTTTTCAGAGGCGGTCTTCGTATATAAACTTGACTCGTGGGATATAAATCTTCATGTGCTAAAAAAAATCGCAGGTCTACCAAAATGATTATATCCAGGGTTGTGGTCGTACACTGTACCGCCAAAATTTTAGTACCAGTACAAATAGTACTGGTACAGTTCGAAGGGAAGTACAGCTTGGCTATTGTAACGGATAATGCATCAGCCTATAATGCTGCACGGTAAGTAAGTTTATGTTTTTATCATTGCTTAATATTAAAATTACTTAAAAAAATATTTTTTATATCATAGGTTACGTCTTCGAGTTCAGCATCGTAATATTGTTTTTTTACCATGTTTCGCACCTATGCGTAGGAGAAATATTCAAAGTATCACCAGAATTCAAAACAGTTTCATCTCAAGCATTAAAAATAGCAGCATATTTTAAAAACACGAATCATAAGTATTTTATCGGTCAGCTTCGAAATATTCAAAAAGAGATTTATGGAAAATATATTCAGCCTACAATCCCTGGAGATACACGATGGAACAGTTACCTTACTACTTGTACAAGTTTAATATATATTTTAATTTGCTTATTACTAATTATAATAATTATTTTATAATATTTTATAATATTAGTCTTTGGCTACTAAATTTGAACCATCAAATTCAACCGCACGACGTCGATTAAGCATTTCACGTGACATTTATACTATAATTATGAATAAAAAATTTTTGGGAATTATTAACAAAACTGGAATAACTTTTAATTCCTTATTGCCGCATTCTTAACATTCTACAAACTGATAAAGCACGATTATACGAAGTTTTACATGGATTTGCATATCTTTGTCAGTTTTGGAAAGAGTATGAAGATAGTAATATAGCCAATAGAATTTTGACTCGCTTACAACAAAGATGAAAATTATGGGAACAACCATTATTAATTCTCTCTTGGCTCCTTCATCCATCTTATAAAATAAATTATTTTACATCACCATCCGCATCACAAATTAGCTATTTACATATGGGTAAATGGTTAATATATTATTATAAGGCTTGGACTGGATCTGATCCTCAGACTATTCTTGCAGAATTTGATGAATTTTCTCTAGAAAAAAAGTATCCTTTTGATAGTGCAACAATTTCTCAGTTTAATAATAATATTTATAAATATTCGAGAAGCTTATCCGGAGATCGGAACTGTTGCTACGCGAATTTTTGGTATTTGTATTAATGCTGCTTCAGTTGAAAGATTATGGAGTAGTATGGGATTTTATCATACTAAAAATAGAAATAGATTAAAGGTAAATAATATAATTGATTTTTAATTTAAGAAATATATACTTATTTAATTTTTTAATTATTTATTTAGCAAGTATTAGATATGGCCAAATTGCGTGCTGATATGACATATAATCAATGTCTTTATCAAGAATCAAATATTATAATTCCTAATATAGAATCACCTTTAATTATACCACAAGAAGATCAAGATGATACTATTGAAATGGAAACACCATTGATACAAGAAGAAGAAGTAGTATTGGATTTAACAGTTGAAAATGATGATGATGATCAAAATAATGAAGATATAGAAACGATTTCAAAAAAGTTTAATGATAATTTAGCTGAATGGTTAAAAATACTTGAAGAAATAGAAGAAGAGGAAATGGAATTTTTAGATATAGATATTGAAGATATTGAGCATCCGGCTCAAAATCATAATGCAAAATGGAATTTAGATATTATATTCAAAAATGGCTTGCATTGTCCCTTTTAATTTGTAATGTTAAAAGATATTATAGTTTGTTAAACAGAAATAAATTGTAATTGCTTAATTTGCGAAATTAAAATGTAATCACGTGATATTATCGTTTTAGTATTTTGTACTAAAATTTTCTTATTTAGTACAGCACAAGTATATTGTACTTACTAAAATTAGCAAAAAAATATAAACCAATCAAAATTTATAAATATCACATGATTTGAACTGTACTATGTACTAATGCTATAGTATAGTACTAGTACAGTACAATCCCAACCCTGATTATATCGGTCAAAATTTAAAAAAAAAACAGCTTTTAATAGAGAAGTGCAATCGTGCTATCATGTTTATATTTTTAAATTGGTGATATAGATTTAAACCTCAAATATGCGATTTACGATGTTTAGTACCAATATTCGCTTTTTTTTTTTTATCTAATATTGGTCTTTGTAACTTTGTATATTCGATTAACTTTTTTTTATTAACGATACATTTTATAAAAAAAATAGATTTTAACTGTAGATTAAATTTTTAATTTTATATAAATGCTCTTAACAAATGCAACAAAAGATACGAAAGTGTCAAGAACTGGACGATAAAAACGATTCTCAACGTAACAATTAATCAGAAAAAATTTATGAAAAAGAAAATTATTTTTAAGAGTTATAAAAAGAACAAATGTGGTGACACAATAACAGAAAGGTGATCCAAAATCACACGCAACAAAATCAGTACGAGATTTTTTTTTTTTACAGATAACCAACCTGCCTTTAATGAGAATTACACTAAGTGCATCAAATATCCATTAGTAGTAGTTCCAATTCGATATTTGAATTTTTATCACAAGATATTCGAATAATAAATAAATTTTGGGAATATCGTTCAACTATCGCCCAATTTCTTTCCTGTTAGACGGAGAATTGGTTATTCCTACAATTATAACTTGCTTACTATAGAATTGCCGTAGATATTGGCCAAATTTAATCTTTTTAATTCATTAGCTCATGTTATATTTTCAATATTTTCATTAAATTCAGAACGGTGAATAACTAGTCGTGATGAGAATATTAACTGTTTTATAATCGTGGATATAAAAAAAAAATTGTCGTTTAATTTGCCTTTTAAAAAAATTTCATGAAACCAAAAGATGTTATTTGACATTGGGTAATCTATTTGAATATTCATTAAATAAAAAATAATAATTTGAAATTAATAACTACTTAGAAATCTCAAGCAACAAGAAAACTATGATCAAATTTCTTTTGTTCTCCATTAACGTAAATAGTAAACATTTTCAATGTGAACTGATTGATATTTTTCAAAGTCCTAATACCCGAACCATACATAATTATATTTGTTCAACAAAGTTTTGAGCAATCAAAATTTGATTCTTGATTGTGTAAAGTTAATATAAATATTTGGTGAAATTTGATTGGATTATGATCATTTGTTTGTTTGCGAAGCGAAACACAGTTTTTTAAAAGGTATGAAAATTAATATCTCATTTATACGGTATATTGAAAGAATACATATTCTTTGTTGTATTTATTCATTTAAGTCGTTGTTTTTTCATCATGCTGTAACATAAAATATGTTATCAATCAAATCAGCTTCATTAAAAAAGGAAATCCATTTCTCTTTCTAAAAACCAATGAGGTTTCACTTTCCTAATTACTCCTTATTCTATTACATGCGATTAAATTATTTCATTGAAATAAAAGGGATTTGTTTTATCCTTCGACCATAAATAATATTACACTACCTAAAAACGTTAAAGTTAAAAAACAAGGTTTCAATAATTCTAAAAACGGTAATGAACGAATTTTGTGACCCATTAAAAAACGATTTCAGATGATTTTTTGATTTCCCCCCCCCCCAATTAAATAAATATATAAATAAGTCGATTAGCCTTTTATCCCTCTCGTAGAGTGAAAATGCCCAAAACACAGGATATCATTGAGGCAACGCCTGAAGTATTAAACAGAGCGGTTGAAGTAACTCAATCGGTGGTAAATGTCGGTGAGCAGTTGGGCGTAGCAAAAGGAGCATTAAAAGTTGCCGGTTCCATAACTGATGCAATCACACCTTTCCTTCCATTAATAAGTTCAGCGACTTCAATTATTGGTGAGATGATGATCATCTATAAACAAGCGGAATGTAACGAAAATATTGTTGGTGCCTTATATTATAGAACAAAGCAAGCCGAGTTTGCCATTGAAACTTTACGAAGACGTAAAAAAATACAAAATGAGGTTAACGGTCAAAGCTGGTATAAAGCATTTAATCGTTTCGTATACGTTTTGTCAGAAATTAGAAATTTTGCCAAAAAAGTTGCATCTACTCATGGATTTAAAAAATATTTTGAAAGCTATTCAATTAAAGATAAATTTGAACAACTTACAAATGATTATGACCTTGTTATGAAAGAATTGAACTTTACTATGGTCATCGCAAATGAAGAACAAAGGCGATACGATAGTGAATGTATAAGGGAAGATATTGGTGAGATGAGCAGTGTAAGTTTTTTTTTTTTAAAGAATTTATGAAATCAAATTTTTTATTTTTAAGAAATTATTTATTTATTTATTTATTTTTCTTTGCAGTATATTCAAAATATTAAAAGTGCCACCGCACAATCTGCACATCAAATAAATGAACTTCTTGAAGAAGTAAGACTATTGAGAGATTGTATTGAAAGTGGAAAAGGGCTAGATGCAAAACCTAACCAAATAGATGAGAATGATATAAAGGATCCTTTTGTTACTGATAGAACTGATTACCGTGGTAGTAACAATCATATTATAAGAAAACAATATAAAACAACCATAGAAATTGCATGCAAACCTTTCAAATTAAATAAGGAAGTTCAAGGAATAAATGAAAATCAAGGAAATTACAAGAGACAACAAGGACAACTTGCAATCTTATCCAAATTATCTGATTGTACAAATATCCTTAAATTCTATGGGCTGACGAAATTAAATGGCGAAGATTGTATGATATTAGAATGGGCTCACTACGGAAATTTGAGAGAGGTTTATGAGAATTATGATATCCCTTGGATGAGAAAATTACATATTGCAATTGATCTATGTAGAGCCATCGCTTTCTTGGATTATGTGAAAATTTTACATCACGATTTGCGATGTGAGAATGTTATGTTAACAAAGAATTTAGAACCAAAACTTACGAATTTTGATTATGCTCGTTCAACAGATGCAGAGAGCAAAAAAATTCCTGATTTGGAGATAGTTCATTGGTTAGCTCCAGAAAAAATAGAAAATAACAGCTACCGATACGATATTAAATGTGAAATTTTCAGGTATAATTTTAAATAATACGTATAAAACGCTTTCTTAAAAAAAAAACATTAATAATAATAAATTTTTTTAACTGTTTTATATTCTTTTTTGTTTTTAATTATATAGCTTTGGAATGTTACTTTGGGAATTAACTTTTGAAAAAATTCCATATCAAGGGTGGGATGTTGAAAGAGTGGAAGCCCATGTAATAGCAGGAAAGAGAGAAAGAATTACATTTGGACCAGTTGAGAATGATCGAGAATTAGAAATTCAAAATAAATTAGGTGAAGTCATAACAAATGGTATGTATATATTCTTATTACTGATCTATTGCAAGTTTAAAATTATTTATAAATTTTCATTTTCTTGTAAATTATGATAGCATGGAAAGAAAGATTAGATAGAATCAATCTTCCAAAATTATTCAATACACTTGAAGAATTACAATCCAAATATAAATATTTTATGGAACAAGATTGTAACTCAAATTTACTTCCACAAAAAACTTTGGATTTGGATGGGTCAAGTACTCCTCCACCACCACTAGAAAGTGACGCGGATATGTTATTACCTGAATTAGATGAATTATCAATTGATTTCGACGACATATCGCCAGCGTTATCATTGGAAGAAGGCATAAAAGCACATACAAAGCAAAATTATGATGTAGCCTGGGAATGTTTTGAATTTCATGCAAAGAATGGAAATGCATATGCAATTTATTGGAAGGGTTATTATTTATGGGAAGGAAAGTTTGTAGAAAAAAATCATAATGAGGCTATTAAATTATTTAAGGAGGCAGCTGATAAAGCTATTCCTGATGCACAGCTTCGCTATGCATTTGCTCTAAAGACTCTTAAGGGTAATGTAAGAATAAAGGAAGATAAAAATTTCAAGGAATTCTTTAAATATTTAACTTTGGCAGCTGATGGTGGAAATACGGTCGCTCGATATACTTTGGGAGATTGTTACTTTAATAAGAAATTAGGATTGGATAATAAACAAAAAGGAATTCATTATTTAAGATTAGCTGCTATAAAAAATAATAACAAAGCAATGGATTTATTAAAAAATCATAATATAAGCATTACCGATGGACCAAAGTTAGAAGATTAATTTTGATAGTTTTTTTTTTGTATATCAAATACATACATTATTTAATAAAAGCTAATTTAACATAAATTCGTATCCTACAGTAAAATTTATAATTCAAATAATCTACAATATAGTCACTCTTTTATAAAAAAAATCAACCATCAACTTATAACAAATAACTTTACATTTTTTTTTAACGCACAGGATATATAGTAGGCGGAAATTCATATGATATACGAATGTATCTAATTTTTATATTGTCAAATTGCCCGAAAGTCGTCGATGTGATGTGAATTAAATTTTAAAATATTTTTAAATAAGAATATGTTGTGTAAAAAATATGATTATATTTTTAAATTACTGTATTAATAAATACCTTAACCTTGAAAATTTATGATAAATAAATCACTCTATGCCTAATTTATGTTATCGTTATTATACCTCATCAGTAATACTAATTTAATAGCGTACTTTTAGAATTCTAACCCTAATTCCTACTAATCCTAATAAAACTTTAACCTTAACAATAAACTTACATTTAAATTCTCATATTAATTCCTATTCCTAAACCTTAAAGATAAATAAACTATTTATGATAAAAATGTTAGAATTCTAACGCTATATAAATTCTGACTAATAAAAGCATTGCTTATTATAAATTGTAAAGTAATCTATAAAGTTATTATACGTATTAAAATTAAATCATAAATGTTTTTATTTTTTTTAACTTAATTTTTAATTAAAATTAAATATATATAAAAAGTGCAATCTAATTAATTTAATCTAATATTTGTTGCTAAAAAAATTCAGCATTAAAAATGAATTTTATGTTGGTCATAAATTCATAATTTCTAATTCTGATTTTCATATTTTTAGTTTATTTATATTTATTATATTATGTATAATTATTATTTTCTTATATTTTATATTTTAATTTATTCATTATATATACTTTATTACATATTTAGTTAGTTCATAAATTTATTATAAATAAAGTAAATATATTAATATATTAATATATTAATATGTTCACTTAGTCTAGACTAATATGTAATAAGACATTATAGTTTATTTGGTTACATATTAATTAACCAGAATATGGTGTACCTTTGTAGACTATAATGTATTAGAATGGACTACTAAAAAAATCATGTTGGATAACACAAAGTTGATAAACAACATGATCATATCAAAATATTTAGGTCATATGGAAGAAGCTTATTAATAGAAAAGGAAAAAATCTAAAAAAAATTAAAATTTTACTTCATATGTTAAATATGATTTTTTTAGTAAAATAAGTACAGATTTAACTTTAACTCATAAAAATGCTTTTTTTAGATTTCTTTTCTTTTTATTGACAAGCTCCCATATGATCATAATATCATATGATATTATATCATATTGTCATAAAGTTATATAATAATTACGTGATTTATTTAATTTCAGCCAGCATTATTAAATACTAATTCGTCTTAGTTGGATTATGTAATATTATACAAAACAATAAATTTAGTATAACATGTTTTAAATCTAAAAATTATCACTTTAAGATTTTATGTAATATGAATTACCTTTTATTGAAATTATATTTTATAATGCTAGTTTAAATTAAGTTTTATAATAAAGTCATAAGTCATAGACTCTTCAAAATAACAAATGATTTATAACAAAGTTATATAAATCATATAAGTCATATGATATTATGCATCAATACTAGGATAAAATAGTATATATTGCAATAAAATTTTAGTTAATTTTAGTTGATTTTATGACATAATTTTGGTTGAATTTATGACATATGATTTAAAGATCTAACTCAACACTTAGCACTTTTCTGTCACTTTTTTGAGAAGATCAAATGGTTAGAAAATTAAAAGTACTAAGATCAGCTTATATATTTGTTCTATCAGGAATAGTAAGCGAAAATGAGGTTTTTAAGACAAAAATCAAAAAGATATCCAAAAAGGTTTTCTGACCGCACACAAATCAATTTTAGCTATATGAATTAAATTATCGAATTTAATTCTCTAATGCAATTTAACTCAAATATAGATGATGATATCAAACTTGGCTAGGAATTAACCTTCAGATATCACGAATTATACTGTTTGATTTAGCCATTCTAACCTGATTTTTATCCCAAATAATATATCAAAAAAATTTTTACTATTCTGCTTGCCTCAGAAAAGGTCATCAAAAATCAAGGAACAAAGTGACGTGATTTGAGCTAGGTCTGATATTGCAAATCCAAATTTAATAATAACTTTTATGCTATTCTGCTTGCCTCTGAAGGAGCAATCAAAAATCAAAGAATAAAGTTACACAATTTAAGTTAGGCCTGATCATGTAAACTTAAATGTATATTATATATTAAGTCTAACCTCGAAGAGGTTATATTTAGCTGTTACATGAGACCTCTCTAAATGTATTCCCCTTAGGACCATAATGAAAATTTGAAAAAATATGCATTTAAGAAGAGTGTGCATTTAAAGAGAGAAATTTTGTATGATCTTTATATACTTGGGGCTATGTAAAATGTGCATTTATAGAAAAAATATATATGCGTGCATTTAGGGAGGGTGCATTTAAAGAGGTTTCACTGTATCTAGTTTATAAATCAAAAGCTTAATGATTATGTTTTAGTATGGTATCAATTTATAAATATACAGAAAACTATTCTAGAGCCATTTCCTTTGCACAAACCTGAAACAAAAAAGTCTAATCTTTCGTCTACCTATATGTGAAATCTAACTGCAAAAAAAGTCTAACCTCTCAACTAACTATATAATAAATCTATCTTTTACTAAAAGTCTAACCTCTTGAACACATA